ATTGGTCTAGTAGTTAAAAATTACTTTAAAACCCCCATTAAAAATTTTCCCCTAGGCCAGTCCTGCAAGTTGGAATAACCATGTCTTAAGGGCGCGGCGGAAGGAAGGGAGATCAGGGATCACCCTGATCTCTGGGGGTAGTTCATTCCAGAGGGTGGGAGCTCCCACAGAGAAGGCCCTCCCCCTTGGGGTCGCCAGTAGGATAATTTCCTTTTTTAAAAAAAATAAACACTATTATTCTGTGGCTGAAGTTAGTAAAAAGTTGTTTTTTTTCATCACAACTTGCTTGCCCCTGCTTTAATTCATGTTTTTTTCTTCAGAACTTGGTCTCTGGCATCAGGACAATAGGTTACACCTCTGAGAGGCGTCCTACGAGTATATTGATTCATGTCAGTCCAAGACTGGTGAGATCAGATTTGAGATCTAGGAAACTGGGCGACTGCTCAACCTCACCTAGATCCTAGGACAATTGAGATAATAAATGGGTGTTAGAAGAACATGTTGTGTTTTTCCATTCTTGTTTCACAGAGAACAAAAAAGCAAAATTAAAATTTGCTTCACAAGCACACATTCTTTAAACTATGATGTTGAGAATTCAGCCTCGCACAAGATTGCATTCTTGGAAATGTTGATATACTTTTTTTTTAGTGCCTTTCTCTACTGGGTGGGAGATCTTTGTTTTGTTCCGGGTAGAAATGTTGATAATTTAGAGAGTAAGGAATTAGTATCCATGAAGGAAGAGTTTCTGTTCAGGAATACTTCACTGCCATCTGCTGGTCTAACCCTAGTATTGCCACCCATCAATTCTCCAGAATCAGTAGTAAAAGCACTTTAAAATGTATTTACTTACTTATTTCTCAAACAAAAATTACAAATTTGAGCAAACACAATGAAAAAACTGTGACAGGGGTGGTAGGCACATTAGTGCATTACACACTAGGGACCTTAGGAACTTCTTAAATATGGGATGAGGTCAACAGAAGTTAAGTTGAAATTAAAACTATGAAAGTTAGTAGCTGCTATATATAAGTTTTTCTTAGTTTTGCCTTCACCTCTTGGCAGAGATTGGCAAGTAGAAGGGAGGAAAAACCCTGAAAAAATGTAACAACAAACATTTGCCTGCTAATCTTGAAAGATTTGAAATCCTTTGTACACCTGAACAACTGTTTTGCCATGCAGGCTGATGGATGACTTTTGAAAAGTGGCATTTGGGGTATTTGTCCAGGTTTTTCAATGTAGGAATAAAACTATAATTGTTCATGAATAAATAAGTCTCCTGGTCTTGGATCCTTGGAGCAAATGGAGCATAGTTATGAGGCCAGCAAAATCCAGATTCAAGACTCGATTCAACAATGGACATTCATGGGATTCTCTGGATGGATCACATTCATTCTGACCAGCCTAAAATCCAAATTATAGTATTCAGTATACAGTAGCTTGGTTGCAGTAGTGACTGACATTTTGTCCATTTGGTCTTCCAGGCCAGTGCACATCACTGTTGGTCAGAGATATTTATGGATGCCTCTGGTCAGTGTTGAGTGGAGTTGCTGTTTCCTTCACAACTGAGTGTAATGTGTTATACAAGTCCTCATTCAGCAGCTTGTGTTCAAAGGGAGCTTGCATCCAGTCAGCCACCTTTGCCTTGGAACTGAGGACTTTCAATATTCAGCCAAACTGTTTAAACATCCAGCTAGTTTTTTTTTCTTTCTAACATCCCCATTCTTTATTAGAGTTCTAAAGAACTCAAAAACACCCATGTTTTTAAGAGAAGGATTGGGAGGGGGGAACAACATGATAGCCTTGAGGGACTATCACAAAGAAGAGGAGATTGACTCCTAACAGTGAGAACAATTAATCAGTGGAACAGCTTGCCTTCAGAAGTTGTGGGTGATCCATCAATGGAGATTTTTAAGAAGAGACTTGACAACCTCTTGTCTGGTATAGGGTCTCTTGCTTCAGCAGGGGGTTGGACTAAAAAATCTCCAAGATCCCTTACAACTTATTTTGTTAGATTCAGTTATGTTAGACTTATTCTCTAGAGCAGAGGTCCCCAACCTTTTGGGCACCAGGGACCGGTTCCATGGAGAGAATTTTTTCCGCAGACCGGAGTGTGCGTGATTTTGTGTGCTGCCTGCATCCTGTGGATGGGGTTTTGCTTGTTTGTGCAGACCAGTTGCTGGCATACCACAGACCGGTACCGGTCCATGGGCCGGGGGCTGGGGACCCCTGCTCTAGGGCACCAGGGGCCAGGACAATGGGTAGAAGCTTGTCAAAGAGAGCTACAGGCTAAAAATAAGGAGAAATTTTCTAACAGCAAGAGCAATTAATCAACAGAATAGCTTGCTTCCTGCAGTTGTGGGTGCCCAACACTGGAGGCTGTCGGAAATAGACTGGACAACCATTTGACTTGGATAGTATAAGACTCCAGCCTTGAACAGGGTGTTGGACTAGAAGACCTCCAAGGTCCCTTCCAACTTTATGATTCATGATTGCTTTAGATAAAACTGAGTTTGTTCCCATGCTTAACAATTCAATTCATCCTTAGCCAGGCAAATTTCCCGAATGGATTTTTCTTCCTCAGTTCAACCAACTCCAGAAAACATTGTAAGAAACTTAAGGACGTGCTAATTGAGGAAAGGGGAGATTTAACCTGAACTTATAAATTGTACAGTGATGTAATTTATATGTTAATTCATAATGATTCTGTTTCAAATTCATTCTCTCTCTCTCTCTTTCTCTCCCCACTCTCTTCCCTTTCTCCCCTGGCAGCTGTACCCATACGGAGAACTCATAATTTCACTGGGCTTCTTCCTGGTGTTTTTTATCGAAAGTGTGGTGCTCCACTGTTGCCCCCAAGCTGTTCACTCACATGGCAACAATGAAAATCATGAGGATCACAAGGAGCTCCCACCTTCTCACAGTTCCTTCCGGGCATTTATACTCTTCCTGTCGCTGTCCTTTCATTCAGTCTTTGAAGGACTTGCCATTGGTGTGCAAAAGGAGGCCACAGGCACCATCCAACTTTGCCTGGCCGTGCTCATCCACAAAGCCATCATGAGTTTCAGCTTGTCTTTGAAGCTGGTGCAGAGTAGCACTAGGCTCCAGTGGAGGATGCTCTACCTGGTGGTCTTTACTCTGATGTCTCCTATCGGTATCAGCGTGGGCATCGGCGTCTCTCTTTTCAATGGGGACGGTAGCGGTCTGGCTCAAGCAGTCCTCGAAGGGGTGTCAGCAGGAACTTTTCTCTATATCACATTCCTGGAAATTCTTCCTTACGAGCTGAGTTCACATGAAAACCTTCTCATCAAGTTCCTTTTTATCAGCCTAGGCTTCTCTATAATGGCGGTCATTGCCATTTGGGCATGAAACATTGCTCATGCTAAAGAACCAGGGAAATCTGCCTTCCAGGCTGCCCATCAGCCATCGTCGATACACGGACCTGTTCATTTTTGTCTTCTCTGGCACTTTGTGTTGTGGACTTTTAATGCTGCTTATGCCATCATACTTGCCTTGAGTGCTACGACAAAAATGTAGTAAGAAGAGAAACTTATAGCAATCCTCCAAGGAAGTACAAGAGAAAACTCAGAGATCTAGATAAAAATAGTTGACCATGACAAATGAAGACATCAAATGGACTCATTTTCACTTCTTGAGCTACTGGAAGGCTGTAATTCAATCTTCTCAGTCACTTGTCTTCCATAAAACTGAAGACTGTAGAGTAAAACAAAAAGTTAACAACAACAACAACAAAACCATAATGGAAGAAGCAGAGCCTTCTGCAGTGGAGGTCAATGATGAAAATGGTGTTGTATTGTCTCAACACAAGTGCCACCTTTATCTACATGTGTCATGCTGCTGGATGGATGCACAAAAGGGGCATAGCTACTACTATCATAACTCTGCAAAACGTCCCAGCTACTACTATCATAACTCTGCAAAACATCTCTGAGGAGAAGGCAATAACTACCATCTTATTATTGCTAAATCCATGACTTGGCTAGGAAGAATAGTTAAAGGTTGGGAATGGGAGACTGGACAGCCATTTATCCAAAATGGTATAGGATTTCCTGCCTGAGCAAGGGGTTGGACTAGATGACTTCCAAGGTCCCTTCCAACTTTATTATTATTATTATGTAAACAAAAAAATGAATGGCCCCTTCCTTTTTTAGGAAGTCAAATAAAGAGAAGACAGGCCATTATACCTGGAATGAGAAAAGGAGAGGTAAAGCAGTTGGAGGGCCAGCCGAACCGAATCCAACCGAACACAGGTAAGGATACATGTTAGATCCTACCTAGTGGCGATGAGGGTGGCTAGGACTAACTACTATTCCTCACTCATCGCGTCATCAGATAATCGCCCGGCCGCCCTCTTCAGGGTGACCCGCTCCCTCCTTCAACTGAGGGGGGGGATCCCCTGGAGGGGAG